GGGGGGGGGGAGAAACGGAAGGTGACAACGGCCACCCGCTCGTTTCCTATGGGGTTTGTGGATGATGAGCAGGCTAATATGAGTCGTCGGAGTCTAGGGGGAGTTCGGAAATGGAATTGCGCCTGGGAGGGGCTCAAGCTTGACTCTTAGCTCCCTCCGCTCCCCGCTGTCGGGTCCAGGACGTCGACTACGGTGCAGCTCGAAGAAGAATGCGATTGATCAATACCACCACTACTGTACCGATGATACCAGTAGCAGCACTCCCCCTCCCGCTACCGTTCCCGCTACTGTAATCTCCTTCCCCATTCCAAAACAATGGAACGACATCGAGAGTGGAGAAAGGAGGAGGGAGGAGGGAGGAAGGAGGAGGAGAGAGAGAGAGAGAGAGAGAGATAGAGAAACGGCTATATTAGTATTGCTTATTACCCCTCCGGGCAGCTACCAACGAATGAGATGACTAATTTATATGATATATATATATATATATTCTTTGAAAAAAAAAAAAAAAAAAAAGACACGATGTAACCATTCTGGCGGGAAAAAAAAAAAGAAGAGGAATGTACATTCTTAGTGGGAATATACCCCAATCAAAGTGAAGGTGGTTTTTTATTTTTTTTTAACCTCTTTCCCTCTCTCTCTCTCTCTCTCTCTCTCTCTCCTCCCTTTTTTTATTCTTCATTTATTTTTCCCTCTCTTTCTTCCTCTTCTTTCTTTTTCCTCTCCACTTGCTCTCCCAGTACAGTGCGGGTGCGCGCGGCTGGTACGGTGCAATCTCGCCTCACCACTGCTACTATCTCATCCATCGTCTACTTCCAGCATTAACCTGTCTCATCTGCACCGACTATGCATCTGTATAGCGATACATATATGTCATGTGATGATGCTACGTGTAATACCGAGCGGTACTGCGCTACTGAGCAGTACGCTAGATGATGCACGTCTCATCTCCATCTCACATCATCTTGTTCCTATTCTCGTGGTATTCTCATCTCACCTCGTCCTCATCGATACATGCCTACGCCTTCTCGTGATAGTCTGCACATGTACTCTGTACTCCCCCGATCTGGAGACTAACCCTCGTATCACTTACTCTATTTGGTCTCTCCCGTACCATCATCATCACGTCCCCTCCCAAACGCACCTAGCACATCTTTAGTCGGATTAGTCCAACTAGGGAAAGAAACTAGTCTAGGATCCTCCCGGCGCTTCCCAGCCAACTGGGTTGATCTGCGGCCATTTTGGCGTCTTTCTTTTTTTTTTTCTTTATTCTTCTTTTTTTCCTTTCCTTTTTTTTTGTTGCTCTAGTGTCTTTATCTTTATTTCTCTGCTTTCTTCTTTAGCTCTCCCGTCACCGACTTTTTTTTTTTTTTTTTTTTTTTTTCCCATCATTATTTCTCATCATCATGATTCCTTCCTTCATCAAACCTTCTCTTCTACCCCCACCCCCTCTCACATTAGCATCGTATTACTTCTCATCACCGTAGGGGTTCGTACGCTATGCTGTACTGAAGTAGCGGTCCCGAGCTCTCGGTTAGCTGCACGGATCTGCTACTGAACCACACCTCGATCAGTCGTGTAGGAAGCATCTTGATGGGAGAGGGAGGTGGGAGGTGGGAGGTGGGAGGCCTGTGTGCGTGCGTGCGCGTGCGTGCATTACGGATGACTCTAATCTGTACATCTCACCGATATTCGCACGTATTTCCAATCAATATCTTTTTAATTTTTTTTTAATTTTTTAATTTTTTAATTTTTTTTTTTAAATCTTCTTCAATAAAACTACTCGTTACCATCATCACCATCATCATGGTTGTCACATCTTCATCGTCATCACCGTCATCTTCCTATACGAGTCACACGTAAACTTCAGCTTCCCCAATCTGACCCATCAAGTACGAACCGACCGACGGAGTCTTCTTCTTCTTCCTTTCCTCATCTTACTTGAACACTTGCATCTTCTTCTTCATCACTTCATTCTCCATCCACCATCTTTACACTGTATCCCTAGTAATCATCCCCTTCTGAACCAAGAACCCAGCCCGTTATAGCCTGTCCGTGGGGGCCAAGAGACGGTATATGATGATACTTCTCACATCACCGTGGTGTATGCACCGAGACAAACCGAAAAAAAAAAATATACAGAATCATTTGATCATGTACCGTGTCTCCGATATTCCTTTTTTTTTTGCAACTTCCTTTTGCAGATCCCCCAAATCTTTTCCTTTATTATTATTTTATCTCATGTCTGATGGCGGTGGTGGTATGCGTGTCTCTGCCTCTCAGATCCTGGGTCGGGAGCCTCCTTTTTCCCTGCTTAAGGGTTGTACGCCACACACATCCTGTGAGGTAATAAGCAATACAGGAACATGTACTGTAATGTTTCTTCTCTCTCTCTCTTTCTAACCCCCCTTTCTCTCTTCATGTCTTTTTTGTTTGTTTTTGTTTTTGTTTTTGTATTCTCTATTCATCTCTCCGTCTTTTCTCCCCCCCCTTCCCTTTCGTTTCGGTATGGTATGGTTCGTTCTTGTACGATACATTGATGTGTATATATATATATACACAATATACACACATATATATCTGGATTTTGGAGAGGCACAAGCATAAGAACCGAACAGAGCAAGAAAAAAAGAGAAAAATTCGGAATGAGATTTCTTGAAATGTACCATGTACGCTAGACAGATTATTAACCCCCCCCCCCCCATTAAACCTCCTAATCGGGTCAGATCATGTTACAGGACAAACGTCTCGGACAGTGGCAACGTGCTGCTGCTGTTCCCCAGATGAACCGTATACTCCCCCCTCTGCAGATGCCACTTCTGCTCCCCCGTGCTCCATACGCTCAGGTCCCGTCTCGTCAGGTTGAACCGGGCCTGCTGGCTTTCGCCCGGGTCGAGGAAGTGTTTCGAGAAGCCGCGCAGCACGCGTAGGCGCGGCTGGCCGTTACCGCCGCTCTCGCCGCTGCCGTCATCCCCGGCGACGTCGTCGCCGCCGCCCGGCCTGTCCACGTACACCTGGACGACCTCGCCGCCGTGCACTCCGCCGTCGTTGGTCACGGTGGCCTCGACGGTGGCGATGGTGTCCCAGAGGTCGCGCTGCCCGCCCTGGACCACGTCCCCCGTCGGCCACTCGGCGGGAGGCCCGTCGCCGCTGCCGGATCCGACCACGCCGACGCTCAGGTTCGACTGGGAGAAGGACGTGTAGCTGAGGCCGAAGCCGAACTCGTAGCGGGGCTCTATGCCCCCCCGACGGAAGTGGTGGTGGTCGATGTAGACGCCCTCGGAGAAGTTCGACTGCGGGAAGCCGGCGTAGCGGTCCTCCCCGCCGCCGGCGCGGCTGGGCCCCAGAATGGCGCCGTAGTCGGTCTCGTTCCGGCCCACCGTGTACGGCAGCTTTCCCGAGAAGTTGTCGTCGCCGTACAGGAGCGAGACCAGGGCCGCGCCCGTCTCCTCCCCCGGGAGGTGGGCCATGATGATGGCCGACACGTTGGGGTGGTCGACGAAGCCGTCCACCAGGCGGGCCCCCGCGTTGTGCAGCACCACCACCGTCCTCCCGCACCGGTCCGCCACCCGCCGCACCAGCCCGTCCGTGTAGTCGTCGCGCGCGGCGGGGCGGTCGTAGCCCTCCGACGCCCACGCGTTGCCCAGCACGATGCACGCGTCCGACGCCGTGCTGACCACGGGGTCCGCCGACGTCAGGTCGTACAGCATCGCCGTCCCGTTCTGCGCCGCCCGCATCTTGAGCGCCTCGAGGGGGGAGACGAACAGCGCCGGCGTCGTCGACCCGGATCCCCCGCCGCTCAGCATCGTGCCGTTCATCCCCGTCGCCGACAGCTGCGCGAACGGATGGCCCCCGAACCCGGCCGACACCTCCTCGCCCGACACAGGCTCCGCGCCGAACGCCCACCGGTACTTGGGTCCCACGCCGCCGCGCACCGGCGCGAACACGTCCGGCGACTTGGCCGAGTAGCCAAAGACCGAGAGCTGCCGCGGACTGCCCAGCGGCAGCGTGCCCTTGGTGTTCTTGACCAGCACGTGGCCCTCGACGGCGCCGCGGAAGCGCGTCCCGCGCTCGTCCGGGTCCCTGGCCTCGACCACCTCGTGCGCGTCGTCCAGGCTGACGGGCATCCCGCGCCCCGGGGCCGGAAAGTCCCCGTCCTGCCCGCGCAGGTACCACGCCGCCAGGATCCGGTGCGCCATGTCGTCCACGCGCGACTCCGGCACCGTCCCGTTCCTCACCGCCTCCACGAGCCGGTCGCCCCAGAAGCCGTCCGAGTCCGGCATGGCGAGGTCCATGCCTGCCAGGGCGGTCGGGTACCCCGCATGCTGGGCGTCCCAGTCCGACACGACGAAGCCCTGGAACCCGAGCTCCGTCTTGAGGAGGCCGTTGAGCGTCTTGCTGTTGGCGCACCCGTACGAGTTGTTGATGCGCTGGTAAGAGCACATGATGGCGCCGCTGCCGGCTCTCACCGCGTCCTGGAATGGCCTGGTCATCTGTCAGACGAGCCGAGAGAAGAAGATGAAATAGTAGAAGATGAAAAATGACCAAGGGGAAAAAGGAAAAAGAATAAAAGGAAAAGAAAAGAAGAAAAAAAGAAGAAGAAGAAAGGAAAAAAAAAAAAGAAGAAAGCTGTCAAGGACAGGACGACATACCACAGGTACAGCTCGTGCATCGTCTTGTCGTCGATATTGGATGACACGGATTCGACATCATCGACGGGGTTTCGGTGCGTCTCCTGCTCGTTGCCTATGAAGTGCTGTCGATGGGGTGTCAGTCATCTCGTCACTCCCTCTTTCGTGATGCTCTCCCTTTCTCATCATGCGGAACGGTAGGGGGGGGAGGTGGGGGGATACCCTACCTTCGTCGTAGCGATGACGCCCTGCTCCTGCATCCCGATCACGCTCTCGTACGTAAACACGCCAGACAGATACGGATCGGACCCGAATCCCTCCCAGTTCCTCCCACCGAGCGCGATCCGACCCAGAGGTCCAGCCACGGGGCCGAGGTGGATATTGACACCCTTCTTTCTGAACTCGGCACCCATGGCTCTGGCCCTGCTATGCGCAAGGTCTCTGTTCCAGCTACCGAGGGGAGAAGGTGTGTGAGCGACAGATGCCATCTCTTCCGTCGACCCATCTCGTCCGGGACACCTCCGGTATGCTGTGATAGCGCGCGCACTCACCTGGCACCGGCGTGTATGCCGCTGGGATAGCTGCTGACGAAGTCCGTCGCTCTGAGCCCGTTGCCCGCGTCGCAGAGGCATAGGCCGGGGAACTCGAGCCGGTCGACGGACCTGACTGCTCCGTGGCAGCCGTTTCCAAGTGACCCCCCGGTCGTGACGCTGACTTTTTCCTCCAACGTCATGTTGGACACCATCTCCTTGGCTCTCCCCAGTGCATCGCCCAGGCCGTCGTCATCGGTATCCGCCTTCATCGGGGCTATATATATGTGTGTGTCTGTCAGTCTGGGGTCTCTCTCTCTCTCTTCCTTCTCTCCCTTCTCTCCTTCCTCTTCTCCGTATATATCCGCGCTCATGTGTCAGGAAGTGGGCTGTGACTGACGAGAAGGATAAACAGGAGGCGACTGCCCATAGAAATACCCATCGTCGGTGATGGCATCCCCATCACGAGCTCTACCCCCGGAGCTCCGTCCGTTCAGCGCCACGAGACCGCACAGACCGCCGGCAACGATGAGGACGGGTAGGCCGATGACGAGGGCGAGACCTCTTTTCGTCTTGAGGATGGGGAATCGGGTCGTCAGGCTTGCCAGGAATCCTGCCGGTCCGTGGTGAGGTTGCCCTTGCTTTTCAGCAGGTGCATCGTTCGAGGGCATTTTTGTTCTTGTCAAGCTTTTGCTCTGCCGAGTCTCTGCTTGATCTACTCTGTAATATACTTCAGATTCCTCTACACTTTCTTCTCTATCGATTTATATCAACATCATCGTCCGAGTCCGAGGGTTCGACAGTGAAGAGATGGAAAAAAAAAAGAGATCCTAACAGATCCAATCTCGTTAGCCAGCTTTACATTCCCCAATTCCCCCATTCCGCCCAACTTACCCCAACTTCTTCTTTCTGGTACACCAAGAATGATGGGAGTCGAAAGATGTAAAAAAAAAAATCAAAAAAATCCGGTAGGTAACGTATGACAGAAGACAGTTTATAAATTCGATCCGACCGTGTTTTCTTTTCGTTTCTTTTTTTTTTTTCTTTAGATGGTCAAATTTTCAGCCCAGATGAAAGGATGCGTTGCTGCTGCTGCTGCTGCAAGAAGACAAAAACAAGAAACAGAGGAAAAAAACAAGAAAAACAAACAAACCGATAGGTACCCAAGCAGAATAATAGGTTGTAATATTGACGTTGATAAAACACGAGACTACCCGACCCGACCCGAGTACGAGCACTCTCCTCGTGGGGGGTTGTTGTACATAATATCGGTGATCCTTTCTGGTGCCGCCGTGGGGGGGGGG